GGGGGGTGGGGGTGGTGTTGGCTGGCTGAAATTTGAACCACTGGCTTGAGTTTAGCTCAAAGTGAAAGTGTGACTGTGGGCCATCATCTGGGGGCTCACCAGGCTCTATCTGACCAGTCAGCCTGATTTCTTTTAATGATATGTAATGAGGTGTTTTCCCACATCGTTTCCCACTCTACCCCGGTGCCAAGAAAAACAGTATTGCTTCCACTTCTGAAGGGAGGGCAAGAAACCCTTTTTGGATCTATGTCCCAAACCAATTTCTTCCATGACTAGTAACAGTGTGGCTGGCACAAGGGTAAGCTTTGAGTAGCCCACCTTGTAGATCTCAGATGGTAGACCTACGTGGAAAGTTACTATGTAGGAACAGATTGGAAGGTGATGGGAAATGATCCTGAGGGAAGCAATACACTTATCTTCAGGAAATCCTCTGTCCCACATCCCACCCTCACCTCATTTTTCGTTGGAGTGACGTCTTAAAAAGGAAATAAATTTAAGAAATCCTTTTCAGATTAAATTTACTTTTTCATTTGGTAAAGAAGAATTTATAGCTTTGAGGCAAGAGAGCTAGCTGCACTTTAATTATTTTGCTGCACATATTTACAGTTAATTTTTCATTATTCCTCCTCTGTGCCATCTGTCAAATATGTAATGTGTATGAAAGGAGTTTCCCTGAGAAGTGCTTTGAGTACTTTGAATTAATTAACTTGCTCAAGGGCTTTCTTGTAGGCAATGCTACTTTGTCTAAACCTAAAATATTATGCGTAACATTTGTACATTTATATTGTTACAGATTCAAGATATAATCCCTCAAATGTTTCTATTTTGCCTAGGCTCTTATCTAGAGTTTCATATCTCTATGAATAGTGACAAAACCAATATTTTAACCATCCTAGATTCTTTATATTTTTATAAGAAAGCTTTTCAGAGCATTTTAGTATGTATATTTGATATCAAGATTACTATAATTTATGGTTGCCATTTTTGCTGTGATACTGGACGCCATGCTACCAGTATATCAGATACCTATGGAAAACAGGTTTGAATAGCATTTGTAGGCTAAGAAAAAATAGGAAAAAGGAACAAAGAGTCCACTTCTGCCTTGGGACTCCACCCAAGTCCTCACTAACCCAAGAACAATTTGTTCTACTAACACAGCATTCTGTGATGTTCACCTTCCATGACACGATCACTGAAGACAAAATGGGTGCATAAGCAAATGTTGTGAAGAAAGCTGATGGTACCCAGCTAATCAAAAGATGTAGCATCTGGGATCTTAAAGGCTTGAAGATAAACAAACGGCCATCTAGCTCAGAAGCAACAAAGCCCACATGGAAGAAGCACACCAGCCTGTGTGATCTTGAGGTTTTGATGGGATCAGGTATCAGGCATCAAAGACACAGAGCAAATAAACAAAAAGTATATCAATGGGAATGAGGGAAAGAGCAGAGTGGAGACCCAAAGCCCATCAGTAGTCAATTGGACACCCCCTGTCAGCACTGCCACAAGGAAGAGAAGAGCCAGTCAGGTTGCAATATAACACTGATGAAACACACAACCTTCCACTAGTTCAGCAGTTCTCAACCTGTGGGTTGCAACCTCTTTGGGGGTCGAACGACCCTTTCACCGGGGTCGCCTG